TTTCGATCGTTGTCCAACACATTTTCCTAATAGGAACTTCCATTTTAGATTTGGCTACCCATCAGCGCCACGCTCGTTGCAAGCCGTTGCTGTCACTCCAGATACGGTATACCTGTACTGGAATCTTCCCGAAACACTGAATGCACCCATTGCTGAAATCAAGTACAAGGTATGCAGTTCTGGTTGTGTGTTAACTTAGGACCTATGGGCGGGGCTAACTTGTAGGAGGTATTGGGGGGAAGGGCAGAAGTTGAAAAATGGTCACGCTGACACATTGCTTGTTGGCGTGGAGGCATTCAACTATAATGTCTTCCTCACCGGTACTCCTCCTCTCTGTAACGTTTCAGAGCGCACCAGTGAAGAAGGCGCACTCCCTCCCCCTCTATCCCCCTACAACCGCCGTGGACTGCCCCTGGATGAGCACAGTGTACAGGTTCTCAGGGTGCCGTTGTTAGAGGCTAGTTTGGAAAATGCTTAGCGAAGGCGAATATTCGTGGGTCGCCATATTGGGACGTAGTTCGGCTTGGTGGGTCCACTGGACTTATAGTTAGGGAAGCTGAATCAGGTCGCCTTGTAAAGTCCTGTAGTTGCAGGTTACCAAAGTGGCTCCATTGTAAGACTTCGCAGTTTCACAAGAAAGACAGATTCCAGCAAACTGGGATGTTAGTTTTCATAGATCGGCAAAGGGAAGTTGCGGAAACGCAAAATGCCCCTCCCAAGCCGAACAGTGCCCAAGACTGCTTGTTCTCCCCAACCGTTGTGTTACCTTTCCTCACGTGCTTTGGACAGAAACAGAGTGCTTTGAAACTTGCTTCTGCCTAGAAACCTTGTTGTTTAGATTTCGCAACAAGCATCTGGTCTGGCGTCACCAACCAGTATTGCCGTTCAAGAGTACGCAGATGGAGCTTTTTCGCCTACGACCTCCGACTCTGCATCTTGTCTTGTAAGCCCGTGTCGAGCAAAGATTGCTAACCTCAGACCAGCGACGGAGTACAAATTCTGGGTACAACTTTATTCATGATTTTCATTTTGCTTCGGTCACAGTCTATCGATCGCTTCATCGATCGCTCATCACCTCTCTTTGCTTTGTCCTCGGAATTCCTTTAAATAAACTCTTTTACTCTCTTCAGGCCACGTCTATTCACAAATCCCATCTCAACTCGCAGTTTCCTAGAGGACGCCGAGGCAATTTCGCAAGAGGTTTGTGATTAATGTAGAACACACAATAAAAAAAGCTGGCTGCGAGTCAAGAAATCCAGCCTGTGGCGACGCGGAGAAAGCAGCGTTGTGGATGGCGTCACGCAGGCGGCACTCACACCAGGACGAAATTCATTATGCGAAATTTGATTTGGAAGTCGTTTCAGGCATCCGGTCGTACAAAGGACATCCCTGGAACGCTCCGTCCAGACAATGTGACCGGATCGTCGTTGTTGCTTCGATGGAACAGTCTGCAAGCCGAGCAACCACCATCGGTCATTTCAGTCCAGTATAAAGAGGTAAGACTCGTTCAAGCTGCTTCTTCCAGAGCACTGATTCTTTCCTTCCTGTATTGCTGCCTCCATTTCATTTGTTGGCATTCATTTCTGCCCCAAGAACTTCAGAAAGGTCAAGATGCTCAAGTTCACATATGGACAAGGAATTATGTTGTCTTCCATTTAGCAACTCTCAATAATTAGCTCTGAACTCGAGCAGCAGCTCGGAGCTGGTTTTTTTTACGGTTAAACATATCACACTTTCCAGACAGGTGGCACAAGTGGATGGAAATCGCCATCGAATGCTTCGTTCGACCCTTCAGTATCAACTATCCTTGGTAAGTCACGCCCGTTTACTCTATGAACCGTTTTTACCTTTCCTACCTTGCAAATAGTATAAATTATGTAGTAGTCAAAAGTATGAACTTTTGCACAGTCTTGTTGGCTGCGGATGCTGGGGCGTTTCAGGGGCTAGGTTTGGCGTGGCACCAGCCAGATCTAGACCTCTTGTTGTTGCCTACCAGTTTCTAGAGTTGGTGGAGAACATGCCGCGCTGCGCTAAACCCAGCCCTCCGAAACGCCCAATGTCTGCGGTGCAGACAAAGCCTGAGCAGCGGATGTCTTGCGGTTATTTTTACTACCAACAGGATGTTCCTAAAGTTCCTATGTTCAGTTCTCATAAATGGCCTGCTCTCTGCCACCTCCTATGATTACCGGTTCGTTGCCGCCTACTCAGGAACGTTTACGATTGAAAATCGAGCGATCGGATTCAAGGAGTATTACTACCAAGGTGTCCAACAAGCCAAAACGAAAGGTAGTACCTCTAAAGGCAATTTCTGCTTTACATTTTGTCCTTATTCTCGCTTGCACTAATCATTCTGTTCAGCTGGTGTGCCAACTGCACCGGTGCAAGTGGAAGCCCGAATGGACGAAGAGGGATGGATTGTATCGTGGAAAGAACCAACCAGCGATGGTGGCTCGCCGATTACTAGTTATGCTGTTGAGGTACAAGCATGTTGCTGCTAACAAAATGATCCTCTGATGTGGTCACGTCAAGAGCTCGTAGTCAGGGCGTGTCTTGCCGTTAGAGAAAAGGATTGGGCTATAATAGCAGCCGCTCTCTCCTTCTCTGTCAAAACCTTTCCCCATCCTCTCTTCCATTTTTGTAAGTTCTCCCAACTTCTTACTACATTTCTGAACTTTTTTCTCCCAATTCGCCACTTTTTCGAGCTACCTCCGAGTGGGCGAGGGAGGGGGAAGGTTCGTACAGCGCTAAAAACAGGAAAAGGAAGGACTCACTAACCGAAAATCATCATACTCTATATATAAAGTGGAAGTTGTCTGTGTGTCTGTGGCACCAATAGGAGAAGAGGCTCCGCCCACAATGGGCGGGGCCTATATTTAACTGAGCGGTGTCTCTTGAAAACGTCAACAAAACTCTTGAACGCCGTCAACATTGGGATGGGGGGTGAGGGCATGTTGAAATAGCATGTCGGAAATATACCGAATACACACAAACCAAGCCTCGCACACGATAGACGGGGCGTGCGCCGAAGTGAGTAGTGCCAACGACAAAAATTCGTAAATTCCTCCTGAAGATCACAGGGAGCGGGGACAAAATCATTATCTATGCACCACGTTAGACTACACCCACAATGGGCGTGGGGGCATACCCGAAGTGAGCGGGGCGTTTGTTCGGGCGGGCGGGGCCTAACGCAAATCTTCAAAATTCAGACCCGGAACTGCTCGGCAGCGGGAAAACGGACTCGAGTAAAAAGTGGGCAGGTAGATAAACAGAAGGAGGCACATCCGAACTGGGCGTTGGAAAGAGCCCGGCAGATTGCAGTCGGCGGGCGTTTGTCTGGGTAGGCGGGGACCAAGTAAAAATTTCGAAGTTCGAACCCGGAACTACCCGAGCAGCGGGAAAACGTGGTGAGAAGTCGGTCGAGGTTGAATGGAAGAAGGCATACTTGAAATGGACGTGTGAAGTAAAAATCACTCTCTCCATCAGTATTCTTGGTAATAACATGGTTGTGTTATCATACGATTCACGACATTGTATACAATGCAGATGCTGACCCTGTGAACATTGGGCAGATGAGCAGTTGCTACGCTAGAACTTAAAGCATTTTTGCGAGCAGTGTTTGGATGAACCCGCTCTGTGATCGACTCGCATTTTGTTACAGAAAATTCATGTGGGCTGCATTCTATGGAAGGGGGTTGGGCGAGGGAGGGGTAACATAAGTGAAGAGACACCCCAGCGAATGAGATGTGCGCCGAGTCGGCGACGCCTGCTGCAAAAGTTCATAATATAGTCGCAAGGCAAGTGAGAGTAGCAGTGAATATGAGGTCATAATCGAAAATTCATAACCTACTACCAATTTTTAGCATGTATTTATTTGTTTATTTACCTGCTATTCATTCTACACCAACTCAAATACCCATATACTTCCACTTCAGTTCATCCACTAAGCATCCAGTACCGGCATTCCACCCCTCTCCTTTACGAAAATTTCACAACCGTCCACTAGGGGGGGTATATACCAAATGTGAAACGGTAATGTTCTGGAATTGCAAAAAAAATTTTCTGTAGCGAAGCGGGCGATCCGACTGGGCCTCAGTTTGGATGGCCGGGGACCCACTTCACACGCATAAGGAGGATCGCCCGCCTTCGGCGGGCGATCCGACTGGTCTCCTTAAAAAGCAAGTACGACTCCCTCTTGCTGCGATCCCAACGTACGACGTCTCTGTAGGTAACTGCACCCACTGGAGGGGTAGATTAGGACATGCGGGAAGCAGCTATCGTAAATAACACTGAACATGAATGGAATGAGGTGGCTTGAAGAAAGCGCATAGTATTGAGTAGGAGATGCTTTGAATGCCGTTTGAGAAGGTTTCTTTCCAGAAAAGGCACATATATTGAAAAATATGGCTTTGAAAGCGGTCAGAAACTCGATGGTGGGGACGAACTGGGAAAATTTGAGCGAGTATTCCAGTGTAGTGTTGAGCGTACTACACTCCTGCCAAAAGCATAAATAACTACAGGGGGGGCAAAAAAAAGTCACTTTCTTCATTGACTTTCGTGGCGCTATAAGTTACACTTTATAAATTCTAATCGGACATTTCTACCACCATATTAAAGAGCATATTAAATACTATTATAAAACTCCGCCACAGCCTTCTGGACGAGCGCCATCGAGAGATTCTGGCACGCGACCGCGATGTGGTGCCTGAGATCAGCGAGATAGTCGATTTCTCCGCCACCGTAGACCACCCTATTGAACTCCGCCCGAACCGGGTAATTGAGGGGATTCAGGTCAGGTGACCTACTTGGATATTCCATCTTTTTACTCAGCCCCTTCCATTCCAAGTAGGCGAGAGTTTCTCCAACGCCCTTCGATTCCATGTGGTGGCACCCAATGCTGTAGCAGTACAAAGTTTCCAAGAAGGTACGACATGTGGGGAGGATATTCTTCTCGAGTTGCTCGATGTAACCGCCAGCGCTCACCTTCAGTCCGGGGTCCACGAAGAAAATATTGGTCTTTCCATTCCAGGTACCTCCGGTCCCATCAACCCGCTCCTTGACGACTGCGGTGAAGATGATGTCCTAGACCGTAGCGACGTTGTCGGAGCTGCTCGATGTTGGAGGTCTTCCAGATTGAGAGTACTAGTCTCCAGGTAGCTACCCATGGGTGACTCCACACTAGAAGTTTCGCAGCTGTTTGGAGGTGACATGAATTCCAAAGGTCTTCTCCAGTCAGGCTGCGAGATGACTTCATATTTTGGTGTACATGAAGGTGATGGGCGAGAGCCAGCTCCTGCTTATAGAGGAACATCTTGGGTATCTTCCGCCCTGGTACTCGTATCCACATCTTCTCTCTGGGCTGCAAAAACTTTGCTGATATGTGACTCGGTCGAAGTGACTTTTTTTTGCCCTCCCCCCCCCCCTGTATTGACCATTCATCCGCACTGCCAGCCTGAAACCATGGGCAATGGATGGCTTGCGCATGACTCAAGTCGAATGGTATGTTCAACATTCACTAAGTTCCAGATGCGCCACAACCGTTCCGCTGAATGGGAGATTGCTGAACGAGGATTGGACGGTTGGAAGCTGTGGTGGAGACCGGCCAAAAGTGACCGTCGTCAGCCGTGGGAATTCAGAGTGCGAGCGGCTAATCTCGAAGGTTTCGGGGCGTACGGATATTCAAGTGACACCGTAGGTAAGCGTCTGATAGCTGCACTAAGTGCTTAATACACTTGATTGCCATGTTTCAGTGCCACCAGCTGCTGAAGAGACCTCGCAGTCTTGGCTTTACGTTGTGCTCACTGTGTCGCTGATTGCGATTCTAGTGCTGCTCACACTCATTTTCCTGATGAGTATGTCTTTTACGTACGTAAGATAAGGTCCCCAAGATGACTAATATTACTTTTTCAGTCCGAGCTCGCGCTAGAGCCGCCCGATTAAAGAAGGAACGAAATCTGGACAAGAACTGTATTACACTTGAGAAACTTGCTGGCCTCGATCAGAGTCCTTGCCAGCCGATGCCACCTGAAATGCTCAACGAAATCAAAAGTGAGCTCAGTGACCGAAAACGTATCAGCGTCGTTGACATTTCCTGACCTTTCTAAGTGCCATGAAGTGGTTTGGGGGTACCTTTCACGGACACTGTATCGGCCGAGTAGGCCTACTACTGCGCTTTGGGAAGAACCAATGAGGAAAGTAAGTACTGCCTATGCTACCAGTGTTCAGTGTACCTTCAAGCTTCGTGCTGATCGCATGGACAACACTTGTTTGCAAAGTGCTACCAAAGATAAGCTGTGCATCCACCTTCGTGAATCCTGGTCTTGGCCATACGTGATGGGAATGGCTCCGTAGCTGCAGTAGTTCTTCTCACTCTCTTCTAAGTTGAAAGGTAACGAGCCTGAAGGCAGTGATACCTGGCTGCCGTATCCATCTCC